GCAGAGACGACAGCATTCTTCCAAAATCTCGAATAAAGTAAGGTAAAAGAAAATTACATAATATACCGGTATGAAGATTCTGGACCTCTGAATGGTCAAAACTGCAGGCATGACATACGCTACTGACTGCTGAGCAGCATGGCGAAAAATATGCCCGGACATAGTTCTCCTTGCTCGTACGATGCAAGGAAGCAATGATTGTTAATATCATCGTAAGACAAAAAAAAAAAAAAAAAAAAAATGTTGTATTGCCCTTAGGTGACAAAACAAGGGTCGGTTGGTCGGAAATCGTTTTTTTTTTTTTCTTTTCTTGAACTTACTTTTTTAAACTTCCTCTTTGGGCTTTAATACATTTTTTTCTAAAAAAAGGTTATAATTTTTTTAAATAAAAAAGCCGACCGTAAATTTCAAGATTTTGGGTTCGGTCGCAAAGGGCAATACAACATCTTTTTTTTTAGGCCTCATTGTCGCATGATACACTTTTTCGGCATGTTTAATTCTTGTCATAAATTAGGAAGTAAATAGATCATTGAAATCAATGCGTAATGCGTAAGATTTGAACAAGGCTCACCAGACGCGAATCCAACATTGGCTGGATTCGGTGTATTCCCCTTCCCCTCTCTTTTGAGACCCTAAAACGTCAATAAAACTTGCAATCGGTCTAGGGAATTCCCTTGCCCTGTCGTAAGGATAATATCCTCCCTCTGTTTATAAACTTATGAATACGCCACTGGATTCTGTTCAAGAGTAATTTAGAAATATGGCCCACTTGGGACATCGGAACTTGAAAACAATTCCTCATTCATGGCCATGAAAGCATAGCTAGAATTTTCTCACGCATGTTTTTCTTTTTTGGTGTTGCTGCTTTTTGTTTACAGCTGTATAATTCGGTAAAGCATTAACAGTCTTATATTCAGGCGCGGATCCAGGGGGGGGGGGGCCGAGCGGGCCTTGGCCCCCCCCCCGCAAAAAAAAAAAAAAAAAAAAAAAAGAGAAAAAAGGAAAAGAAGCGAAAGGGAAAGAGGAGAGAAAGGGAAAGAAAGAAGAGGAAGAAGAAAAGAAAAGGGGGAAGAAGGAGATCGGGGGGTCGAAAGGGCTTTGCCTCCCAGGCTGTTGACACCCCCCCCCCCTCCCCCCCCCCATAAAACAAATAAGAGAGAAGGAAGGAAAGGGAAAGGAAAAGAGGAGATACTGGCGTACTGATAGGGAGGGGGGGGGGGTTAGTGGAAATCAAATTTAAATGTGGTTTATTTCTAATTCCACAACGGTGGATTACAAATAATGCTGAAATTACATCATATCCGAGATTTTTCCTCACTTTTTAGTAAATTATACGTTTGTATGTGTTTGTTGGAAAATGACCAATTCCTAAATTTGCAGCCAGGCAAGAAATATGATTCTTGAGATTCCTACATGTCAGAGCCCGAGGTACGGTGGGGATCGGGAGCCTCGAGCTCTCCCCCCCCCCACACTTTGTTTGAAAAAGTATATTAAAGAGAAATAAAATAGAATGAGAGCAAGAAAGAAAGAATAGTTAACTGCCAGTGTTAACAAATAATGAGGCATCAAAATATGCTCATCTGACCGTGATTAAATGCCTAAAACCCCTAAGCTTCCGTGGGCTCTGCCCCCTGGATCCCACCAAGGGCCCTACGGCGGGCCCTTAGATGCTCATCTGACGGTGATTTAATTCCTAAAGCCCCTGATTTTGGGGGGCTCCACCCCCTGGACCCAACGCCAAATAGTTACCTGCCAGTGTCACGAAATAATAAGGTATACAAAAATATGCTCATATGACCTTAATTAAACGCCTAAAACCTCTGAGCTTCCGGGGCCGGCTTCGCCGCCGCCCCAGAGAAGGGTTAACAATCGAGAACGGTACAGCGAATCGTCTTTTTTCTCTCATAATCTTATGAAACGTGAAGCTTCCGCGCTTTGCGCGGGAGGGGAACCTAAATTCAGACAAGGATTCAGAGGCGAGAACGGTTATACCAATCTTTTATGATTTAATAAAACGTAAAAGCTTCCGCGCTTCGCGCGGGATGGAGGGGGGGGGGAAACTTAATTCCGACGAGGATTATTTTCGAGAGCGGTACAACGAATCGTCTTCTTTCTCTAATGATTTAATGAAAATTAAAAGCTTCCGCGCTTTGCGCTGGAGGGGGGAACCTGAATTCAGACGAGGATTAAGAGTCGAGAACTGAACAGCAAATCGTCTTTTTTCTCTCATAATCTTATGAAACTTTAAAGCTTGAGCGCTTCGCGCGGGAGGGGGGGGGGGGGAGGGGACCTGAATTCAGACGAGGATTAAGAGTCGAGAACGGTACAACGAATCGCCTTCTTTCTTCAATAGTTTAATGAAACGTCAAAGCTTCCGCGAATCGCGCAGGAGGGGGAGGGGGTAAACTAAATTCAGACGAGGATTAAGAGTCGAGAACTGTACAACGAATCGTCTTGTTTCTCTAATGATTTAATGAAACATAAAAGCTTCCGCGCTTCGCGCGGGAGGGGGGAGAATCGAAATTCAGACGAGGATTAAGAGTCGAGAACTGTTCGGCCAATCGTCTTCTTTCTCTCATAATCTTATGAAACTTAAAAGCTTCCGCGCTTCGCGCGAGAGGGGGGGGGGGGACCTGAATTCAGACGAGGATTAAGATTCGAGAACGGTACAACGAATCGTCTTCTTTCTCTAATGATTTAATGAATCGTAAAAGCTTCCGCGCTTCGCGCGGGAGGGGGAGGGGGTAAACTAAATTCAGACGAGGATTAAGAGTCGAGAACTGTACAACGAATCGTCTTGTTTCTCTAATGATTTAATGAAACATAAAAGCTTCCGCGCTTCGCGCGGGAGGGGGGAGAATCGAAATTCAGACGAGGATTAAGAGTCGAGAACTGTTCGGCCAATCGTCTTCTTTCTCTCATAATCTTATTAAACTTAAAAGCTTCCGCGCTTCGCGCGAGAGGGGGGGGGGGGGACCTGAATTCAGACGAGGATTAAGATTCGAGAACGGTACAACGAATCGTCTTCTTTCTCTAATGATTTAATGAATCGTAAAAGCTTCCGCGCTTCGCGCGGGAGGGGGAGGGGGTAAACTAAATTCAGACGAGGATTAAGAGTCGAGAACAGTACAACGAATCGTCTTGTTTCTCTAATGATTTAATGAAACATAAAAGCTTCCGCGCTTCGCGCGGGAGGGGGGAGAATCGAAATTCGGACGAGGATTAAGAGTCGAGAACGGTACAACGAATTGCCTTCTTTCTCTAATAATAATTAATGAAACGTAAAAGCTTCCGCGCTTCGCGCAGGAGGGGGAGAGGGAAGGGGGAACTGAATCTAGACAAGGATTAAGAGTCGAGAACGGTACAACGAATCGTCTTCTTTCTCTAATGATTTAATGAATCGTAAAAGCTTCCGCGCTTCGCGCGGGAGGGGGGGGGGGGAGAATCTAAATTCAGACGAGGATTATTTTCGAAAACGGTACAACGAATTGTCTTTTTTCTCTAATGATTTAAGGAAACTTAAAAGCTTCCGCGCTTCGCGCGGGAGGGGGGGGGGGGGGGGAGAATCTAAATTCAGACGAGGATTATTTTCGAAAACGGTACAACGAATCGTTTTTTTTTTCTCTAATGATTTAAGGAAACTTAAAAGGGGGGAACCTGAATTCAGACGAGAATTTAGAGTCGAGAACTCTACAACGAATCGTCTTCTTTCTCTAATAATTTAATAAATCCTAAAATTTTCCGCGCTTCGCGCGAGAGGGGAAAAACTAAATTCAGACGAGAATTTTTTCGAGAACTGTACAACGAATCGTTTTGTTTCTCTAATGATTTAATGAAACGTAAAAGCTTCCGCGCTTTGCGCGGGCGGGGGGGGGGGAGAATCTAAATTCAGACGAGGATTATTTTCGAAAACGGTACAACGAATCGTTTTGTTTCTCTAATGATTTAAGGAAACTTAAAAGCTTCCGCGCTTCGCGCGATAGGGGGGGGGGGAACATGAATTCAGACGAGAATTTAGAGTTGAGAACTCTACAACGAATCGTTTTCTTTCTCTAATAATTTAATAAATCCTAAAATTTTCCGCGCTTCGCGCGAGAGGGGAAAAACTAAATTCAGACGAGAATTATTTTCGAGAACTGTACAACGAATCGTTTTGTTTCTCTTATGATTTAATGAAACGTAAAAGCTTCCGCGCTTTGCGCGGGCGGGGGGGGGGGGGGAGAATCTAAATTCAGACGAGGATTATTTTCGAAAACGGTACAACGAATCGTTTTGTTTCTCTAATGATTTAAGGAAACTTAAAAGATTCCGCGCTTCGCGCGATAGGGGGGGGGGGAACATGAATTCAGACGAGAATTTAGAGTTGAGAACTCTACAACGAATCGTTTTCTTTCTCTAATAATTTAATAAATCCTAAAATTTCCGCGCTTCGCGCGAGAGGGCAAAAACTAAATTCAGACGAGATTTATTTTCGAGAACGGTACAACGAACCTTCTCTTTTTTCTAATAATTAAATGAAACGTCAAAGCTTCCGCGTTTCGCGGAGGAGGGAGGGGGAAATTCGCCCCTCCCTGCACCGACCCCCCCCCCCCGCATCACGTCACTGTTGGTCACCATTACGTACCAATATTTGGCTCGCATAATTTCAAATTTGGGCCCCCCCCCCCCTAAGAAATCCTGGATCCGCGCCTGCTTATATTCCACAGACCTTAACAGCAAAAACGAGCTGTATATAGTATAAATAAGACTTGGATGATCAGCGAATAGTGATCATCTCTCAACTAGGTTCCGTTTTGGTTAATTATTTCTCTGTGAATCATTCTGCATCTAGAAACTCGCAAAGTTGCATCGGCCGATTAATTCACTGGAATACTTTCGCATGGTTCAATCAACATCGCATCATTTTTAAAGTTTCTTTTCGATGCAGTCGGATCGTAAATATGTCGCATATATATTCAATCTGTGTTGGTTTTGTCAATCTATCCTCAGTTTTTATTTTGATGGCCATGATCAGCCTATTAGCTGTTGGATATTTCATCAAGACAAGGTAATTATTTTGTTTTCATCTTTTATGCATGCTGTAATGACACGACGAACTTTTGGGGAAAATCTTGCACAAATTAATACTTTAAGAACAGCCTTTAAAAGGAGTATTAGAAACATTTATTATAGGCATATCTTGCTTTTAAAAATTAATTTTGTCGAATTCACTTTGGATTTTCTCGTTTTCATAATGATTTAAAACATGGGAGTAAATCACTAAAATAACGACTTTGTTTGCTGTTTACTATAATAAAGGGATGTTTATCATTAGTTGTATATATATATATAAGGACTGATATAATTATAAGGCAAAATATCTTGTCATTAAGTACTAGTATTAATGTCTCCTCCCAAATATGATTGCTCCCCTAAAGTCGTTACCATTACCAATACACACATAAATCAAGTATCCGTGGATTTTACATAGCTCTATAATTCATTCATATATATTTGTTTTTGATTTGTCATCAGTTGTAGTGGTTAAGTATTCGATTGATTTATCAAAAATCTGTAGTGAAATGTAGTGCTTATTGATAATGTCTCGAGTGAATTAATAATCGCCAATGGCCCGCCCTTGCCCCTCCAACCCCCATGAAAAAATAATAGAGCTCTAACAATCCTATACCCTCAGAGGGTCTCGTTTCCCCGCGGGTCCTCTCGGCGTGCCGGTCTTGGGATACCTCCCATTCTTGGACTGCCGACGACTCCATCGGAGCTTGATGAGCCTTGGCCGTCGCTATGGCAACGTTTTCTCGCTCAAGATCGGCGCGCAGACGGTCGTGGTTCTGAATAGCGCCGACGTCATCAGGGAGTGTTTGGTTGGGAAAGCGACGAGTTTTGATGGACGACCGGTATGGATGCTGAACAAGGTTAACCAAGGAAGAGGTGAAGGGTTGTTTGTTACTTTTATCACCAGCCTAATACATGCTCCTTCTTATTTACCCTGCCAGGCCACGAGTACATATTACTTATAAATTCTTTTCACATCTTTAAAAGACTATATTTTCCCGGGATATTTTCCTCCGTTGACCCCCTCTCAGCTCAGTCTCTCTTTCTCCCATTCCTTCAGTCTACTTTTCTCTTGCTCGCTCTTTCTCATTAAATTATTCTCCTTCTCTCTCAGTCTCTCTTCTGTAAACACCCTTTTCTCCCTTCCTCTCCCTCATTTTTAAACAAACATCGTTGATGAATCCAATATAGGACATGCAATTATGATATAATTACCAATTTGAAGTTCACTGATGATACAGCCCAATACTATATACCAGTAGATATTTGGGACTAATTAGAATTGGTTCCATAATTATCTTCTCAAAATGTGTATTATGCCCATACCGAAGATGAAGGAAGGGCGAGCCAACTGAGATTCAGTTATCATTGATTTTAGATACAAAAGTGTTAATGACGATTGATACCATGGTTACCATATGTTGGATGGTAATGGACCAAAAATAACCATGGGTACCATGGTTCTTTTCGATAAGGGGGGAAGTAAAGCATGAAATTTGGTCTTAAGCAGGACAGAGCTAGATGTATCTTCTTTTTTTTTTAACCAATATGATTTATCCAAACGCAACTGGAAACATAATATTGATTACTTACTAAACTAGGATATAGAGATGCATGTAATCTTTCCACTTTAATACACAGGTATAGCCAACGAGCAACCCACCAAAAAGTGGCAAGCCCATCGCAAGGCGTGGTCAAAGGTCACGCGAAGTTTAACCTTGCATGACCTTGACATGGAGGGCAAAATATCACATGACATTGCCCGCATCCTCTCTGTCTTAGAATCTAGTCAAGGACATCCAATCGATGTCTCCAAGACAGTACATATGGCTCTATGCAACATCATCTGTTCTTTATGCTTCGGGAAGAGCTTCTCGTACAATGACCTTGACTTTCAGCACCTACTCAAAATGGCGGACAAGTTCTTCTGCTACCTTTCAAGCGCCAGTGCTGTGAATTTCTTCCCGATTCTTTGGTACTTGCCGCTGAAAGCGAACAAGGCTGTAGCAGAGGGATACGAGGGTATCTTTGGTTTTGTGAAGAATCTCGTGGAGGAGAAGGAGGATGGAGTAGGGAGGACGCAGGACCGTGGGTTTATTGATGTGTGCTTGGATGAGGCCAAATCAAAGAAGAACTGTGATGGTGTCAAAATGAGATCAAAGAAGACTTCTGCAGATATGCCAGGCAGAAATATAGATTTAAGTACAGAGACTAAAGCTGACAACAGAAATGACTCCACATTTTCTGCAGCTTCCCATTGTCATCAACCCTGTGGCAACGGCAAGGCATGCAAAGAAATGGACGTCGAAGACGAGAATGATGTCCTCGAAACACTTGACAAGTACAGTCGACGAGTCATCTGCGAAGATGCGACATACGTAGCGACCGATATGTTTATAGGAGGAGCTGAAACAACACATGCAGGCATGGGTGTCGATACTTACGTAATACCTATTCATCAGGGGGGGATGAATGAATAGATCATCCCCCCCTGATGAATAGGTATCAGTTACGGATCGACACCCATGCATGCAGGCGTGATGTGGGCTATTGTCTTCATGGTGCTCTACCCAGACATTCAGATTAGGGTGCAAAAGGAACTTGATGATATGGTTGGTGACCAACATCTGCCGGTTTGGAGCGATCGACATCATCTTCCATACACGCAGGTAAATTCTGTACTACCATTGGCACCATTGAATAACAGTGTCCACAAGCATTGCAGTCACTGGGATTAATGTCATGTTGATTTATTTCTTAAATTTTGCAGCAAATGAATTTAAGACTCAAGATTTGCAATAATGTAATGTCTTTGCCAAACCTTTCGCAGAAAGGAAGTGACCCTGAGAACATACCCAAATTGTCAAAGTAATTGAATGAATTAAAGAACCAATGTTTAAGGATAACTGATAAATATCATCAAGTTCCTACTTATATAAAATCTCAAAAGGTATTTTAAAAGTACAGCTTGTGCTGCCGATTCGACCTCACAATGCTTTCGAAGATCCCTAGGGCAAGATGGATATATCCTATAGGTAGGACACTGTACTAATTTCAGATCTACTAAAGACAATCCACTGCATAATGTTGCCTATTAAGGGAATATTCTTAGAATTCCTACATTTCATACAGCCACACTAAAATCACTGCATGTATCCAAAAGGCTCTTTCTTATTTCTTCTATGATAAAGGCTTGTCTGCAGGAGATCCTTCGCCTCGGCAACGTCATCCCCATCGCGATTCCTCATGTGACCACCCATGACGTCACAATGTCTAATGGATGCCATCTCCCCCAAGGGACCACTGTCTTGTCCAACCTCTACGCTTGTCACATGGACCCTAGTGCCTGGGAAAGCCCCACAGAGTTCCGGCCGGAGAGGTTCCTGGATTCGGAAGGCAATCCAAAGCGATTTGATCACTTCATGCCCTTTTCAATAGGTAAAGATGACGCAGTTGATGTGTTGGTCCCAAGCACAATTTACCCCATCCCAGTGGTGCGTTCAGATATTTCTAATACAAGAGGTACGATTCCATGACATTTGCTCCGGCGACAATTGCTCCGCTGTAAATTTCATACACTAATCGAATGGCTAACTTCAACCCTGGATTCAACACTATACCCTACCCTAAACCTAACCCTAAACCTAACATAAAACCCTATTGAAACCCTAACCCTAACCCTACATCTTAGACGAAATAAAGCCCGGAGCAATTGTCGCAGGAGCAAATGTCGTGTCACCAAGAGGTACACCTACTAGCCATATGTCCATGTGTAGAGATGCAAATTATTTTTGTCTCTGGTTCCTGGGGGGGGGGGAGAGGTAATACATGTACCTACTCCATCCTATGCCCCTTGAGCATCTGCCATTCCTACTTTAGGATATTAACAAGATCCATAAGCTCACAGTAATCACCCTCATCATCATGAGTGTAATTACATTAATCCCCATATGATCATCATTAAAGAGTAAGCATGAAACCTTAACTCAACAAGCAGTGCTTCCACCAAGGTCTCCTCGTCTTTCTTTATTCTACATTGTTCTGTTATGATTATACTCTAATATATTTTGTCACATGTGTTTTCTGGAAGACAAATAAACTTGATACTTGATACCCGTGAAACACAAACCTAAATCGAATTAATGTGCTTATGTCTCTCGGTTGATATTAAGCAAAACAATCGGTCAAATGAGTAATTTTTTTATTTTGTTTACTGTTGCAAAAATATAGAGCTATCAATGAATCCTTTTCAATAGTATGGCCTAAAAATAATTTCTTTCAGGTCGTCGCATGTGCCTTGGAGAACAGTTGGCCCGCATGGAGATCTTTCTCGCATTCACTCATATCTTTATCAAGTACGACGTCAGCCTCGCGCCAAACGAACGCCAACCATGCCTCGAAGGTCGCCCCGGAATAACGCACAGCCCCTATCCCTTCAAAATATGTGCAGTACCGAGAAAAGCTACGAAATGGAATGGTAAAGACAGCCAGACTTAATCTAATTAGGAAAAAATTACAGCCCATGAGGTGTTTAAATGCTGTAATCCTTTATTTTCTCTGTGAGTTGTTGACTGTTTTTGGGGTCAAAATTATGACTGTAAATGCGCTTTGAAAAATTAATTATGTCATTGACAATATGTTGGCGAGCATTGGTTGTACTTGTATACAAAAACGAATTCTTGAAAAGAGGATGGAGATGATTTTTCATGATTTATTTTTCCTGATAAAAACTAATACTATCTGATTAGACATACATGATTTCGTTTGTACATCATCCAAACATCTTCCAGTTAATAGTAGCTTCATAATCTAGATTTCTTGTCTAAAAATAGCCTATATATTTTATTTCATGGTACTCATTTATTGCACAATGATCATATTACACATGATTAAGAAATATTGTTTCAAAAATACGAATTTATTTTCTAGATATCAATTTTGTAACATCAAAAAGTATAATTAACATGATGAGTAAACCCTTTTGTCATCAAATAAAATGGCTACATTTATGCAGCATGATGACAATTACGGCGAACTGGGAAACAAATCAAATCCGAAATCTAGAATATACAGTATCTCCAAAAATATAAATGGCAGATATTTCAGATATAATTCAATCTTAATCTGATTTGTATATTTCTCTTTTAGCTAAAAAAATAAATGTTTTCATTTATAAAGAAGCTACAATTTACAGTATCTCCAAAACTTTACTCGAAAATATAACAGCAGATATTTCAGATGTAATTCGATCTTAATCTGCTTTGTATATATATTTTTAAGTTTAAAAAGAGGTTTTATCCTTAAAAATGTTGAAAGAGCTTGCCTCTCTTATTTTTTTAAGGTAGGAGAGGAATGGGGGTAGGTGGCACATAGTCGGCTATGGGGACAAAGTCAACATCGTAACTGAACGCTCTGGGGCCGATGACGGATAGGGCCTGTGGTGATCGTAGAACTGTAGGGCTGGGCAGGGCGATGACGGCTACACGGAGACCGTACTGGACCTCTTCTGTTGGGACAGGATGACCTTTGTCAGCGTCGGTAATGGTGATGATGTCAGGTGTCATGGCAACGATCTGTACAGAATGTATATTTCAACTCATTCACTTGCGAAACATTTTGATAAACGGGGCCATTTGATAATAGATGAATGACAACTACAAAATAATATTGTGAAACATTATAGTGCATCAAAATTGTTTTCATAACTGTATTTTTACAATAGTACAACTCTGAGAAAAAAAGGAGAAGCTTCATCAAATTTTTGACATGTGAATGACAACAGTATTACTGTACATAGAGCTACATTTTAATTCATAAAAGAATGTGAATAGTCTCTTTCCTTTTCATACCCAAACGATTTATTGGATTATTCAAAAGTATTAATCATTTTATTACTAAACGTGTCTTGTGTTTGCCAAATAAATATTAACAATTTGAAAGGAACCTAAGCCAACTCTTTTGTCATTCATTAGGTTGAATGTTATTTTTGAAGGTTTGTCATTTTACGAAGGCTTCTTTTTAGGAATGTTCGAAATTCAGCAGGTTCATATTTCAGAAGATTAAAAAGAACTTTGTTGGTTTCAGAATTACAAAACCTGGAACAATATCCCCTATATCATTTTTAGGATTATGACCCTTCAGAAAGAAAAAGAAAAATCATTTTTAAATATTTTTTTTAAAGTGTCGATTTATGCCCCCTCCACCTGCACTGTGCCTGGCAATGTCTCCCAGCTCAGTCATACAAGGTGTGTTGACTCACTAATACAGTCATAGTAAGATACTGTAGGAAGTTATTTGAAGTGGCACAGTAAAAATGTACTAGATTACATAATCTGTACTCCAGGTTACAAAGTTGCAACAGTAATGTACTCTCACTATTTATCACCTGGGTTATAGTGATGGCACAGCACTGAACTGTAGGATCGAACTACAACAACACTACCTGTATGGCTAGATTTCTGTTTGGACTTAGAGGAAAATATGTCTGTCACCTTAGTTTAAAAATGACATTGTTACTATTATTTGTGACAAGTTCACAAAAACATATCAGCGCCTTCAACTGCACCTCGCAGTGAAATAAAGGTTCTTCCCCACATGCGTTTTTGAACACGGATCTGGCTTGCTGCCTACTTTTTGCCCCCCAAATAAAGATGGGTCTTATACCCAGAGATTTACGGTACACACCTTTTCCTGGAGCATGCCGTCAACGATTTTCTGTTCCTTAGCAACAAGATTCTCGTTCTGGAAACAAACGAGAAAGGAAACTCCTGAGTACTCTCCTGATCCTTCTACCAGCACGTCTCCCTTATCAAAACCCCCTGTAGTCTCACGATTTACGTTGGTTATCTGTAAGTGATTGAAAAGATAATTTAGGCCATCTTAAGTGGAATATCAATCAATAAGACAATTTATCAACCAACTGCCGCCAAAGACCAGTCTGTCTGATGAAGCGTCCCAGAGTGGACGTGAAACGTCGAAAGTTTACTCAAAGTCTAAATGTCTTGTTTTCAACATTTGATGTTACTATTTATTATCATTATTTTAATTGGCATCAATTGTGGAGTACGAATTTTTTCATAAACACCAAATTCTTTTTAAGAGTAATTCAACTTTAGTAAAGGATTCATTAGACCATTTACCAGTTGAAATAGGGATGCGATTCCACAACTTTTGCCTAAGTATTAAAATTCTTCTGTTAAAAGCAACAACTTTGTCTTCCAACATAATGGGTAAAGTATCACAAGCAATAAAAGGCAACAACAAATCCTGTAAAAAAGGGTTTACATCTTTATTAGGGGGTATATATAGGACAAATTGAAAAAGAAGACAAATGGGAAATGAAAACAAAAAAAGGGTGTTATCATTTTCATTCTGAGGGCAGTGGGCGGGGGACTGGCATCTGCCACTGCAAGTTCCTTTCTTCTTCTTTTGGTACAGTAACAACTAAATTATTCATACCTCTTTTATTTAGATGTTTTTGTGGGTTTCGTAACTCGAGGTTGAAAGATGGACTGGTTGTATGGGGCCTTTGTTGATTACTTTTAGATGTAAGCTTTAATATGTCACCTTTTCAAAAAACAAGAATCGGGACAAGTCAATTTTTCATGTACCGTAATTAACGGTGTATTAACCACACCTTTATGCCGCCGAAAAAAATTCTAAGTCGGGGGTGTGTCTTATACACGGTACACCAAAACAATTTTTTTTTTATTTATGCCTCTCCACCTGGCGCTATGCCTGGCAATGTCTCCCAGCTCGGTAATCGGTGTGTTGACTCACCACTCGGAAACTAGAACAACGTTCAAATTTGTCTGTCATCTTGGTTTGAAAGTAATCTTTCTGATAGATCTCAATATGTAGTTTATAATAATAATTCCTCCAATTTTTCTTCTATTACATGGTGTACCACAAGGTTCTATCCTAGGTCCCCTACTGTTTTTTTAATTTACATCAATGATCTTACACACACAAAAAAAAAAAAAAAAAAAAAAAATTTAAGGGCCAAAAAGAGGGGTGCGGTAAAAACAAAATTTGGTAAGGGTGTGAGTAATTTAGTTGATAACTGAATGTGACATAACTGACAGAAAACCACCCGTTCTCACCTTGCCCCTGATGAGTAGCACCCCGTTGCCAGCCCGGGCGATGGCCTGGATCGGGTCAGAGCTAGAGCTTTGGGACGCCATCACTACATGACCAAGATGCCAGGCACGGCTGTAGGAGTATGGTACAGTTGTGGCTAAAATATCCTCTGCGCACAGTGGTCCAAAGACCATTGCTCCAGAACATCTATGTTAATAATAATAGCAGAAAGCATGTCGGTGCCATGTCCATTTTTTTTATCGTCTCGGTAATCATCACAATTGACGAGGAATTGTAACTAAACAACGACAACTGAATTGAGGAAGTATAAACACTTGATTGTATTTTAGGCACATCTTGGAAAGATGTCAAGTTTGGGTAGGCTGAAAATGGAGCTACCTTGTTTAAAGGAAATAGAATTAAAGTAAAGATAAACTCGGGGGAAATACAGATGAATAAAATAGGCCTACACATCATCAAAGACAACACTTAAATCCCACGAGATAGACATTCTCGGTGTAGCGAACCTTCTGAAAAGATATCAAAAGACTCACAAGACTATTATTTACATGAGGCTGTAGCCAACAAAAGGGTGGCTTAAAATTTAGCCTTACCCCATTTGACCCCGACGACATTACGAAAACAGTTTTCGACCTGAACTGAGTTTGCTGCCTCAGCTATCACGGACTGTTGACTACCATCACTAACCAAGACCGCGGGATACAAGGGTTTCTTGTGAATCGAGGGAAGGAACATCTAACAAAACAAACAAACAAGAAATATACAAATAACAATATTACACACAGGGCGTAGCTGGGTTATTTTAAAAGTGGAAAGGGGAGGGTGGGTGTCAGACTAGATTTGTTAGCTGGAAATTAGATGAAAACACAATGTGTGAACGAAGTGCTCTTTCGGGTATTATACATTTTTTAAACGCAAACAAAATATATAACGCTGCATTTTTTCTTAAAGGTACTATGTCCCATTTGCAGGCCAAAAAAATGAAAAAGTTAAATCCCAACTGCATTTGAAAGATAATACTAATTTAGAACTTCCCTTAAAAAAAGGTGGGGCTTGAAAATGTCTTCAAGTGGGAAAATAACGACTAATAGTTGTCAAATCGGGAGCGCCAGGAGGGTCAAATCTGACTGACATGAGCGCTATACAAGAACCCACTATTATTATTTATTATTAGGAGCTATAGAGCCAATAAGTAATAGTCTTGATTTTCAGACAATTGTACCGAATGGTCATATGTTTTATGCAGCGCAAAGATTCAATCAGTTTAATCTTGGCCATCACAAGAAGTGGGTTATTGATGTAGACAAATGCTCATGTACCCTTTACAACTCTTTTCATGTATGTTATTACCAAAGAAGAAAAAAAGCCAGTCAGTCACTCAATAGTGTCTGACAGTGAAGTCTAGCAAGTAAACAGGTTTCCTTGCATAATTTGAATATGAGGACACTGCTAACGTTTAAATTTCACAGATAAGACATACATGACATATTCATAATTCCTTCAAAGTTCTACAGAATTTGAGGTTGGCTGCAAAAGGGACATAGTACCTTTAATGATTCAATTGAACGCCAACTATGGGTTTTCACTGAGCTCTGTGTTATAAGATACAGAAAAAAATGCAGCTTTTCTCGCTGTGTCATATCTGAGGATTAATACCTGCATCTCTGGAAACGCCCTCCCCATTCCATCGCAGTCTAGTATGGGTACATCAAGCTCGGCACCAGCGATCAGAGGTTCAATCGAGTTGAATCCACCAATTTCTCCTGCCACGATCGCACAAACCCTGTCAGGTGCAGAAGTCTTAGAGCAGAGGGTGTAGTCCTTCACAAAGACCAGTCCGTCATTCATATTGTCATCGGCATTTTCTGTCATATTTTAGATATTGAAAAACAACCACAACAACATCACTAACATTAACAACACAAATACTACTACTAGTAGTACTACTACTAGAAGAAGTTCTGAAGGCTCATAATTCCATAGCACAAATTTCCCCACCAGGAAGGTCGTTTGCAGAAGGTTTGTAATTCCAAAAATGATGGAAAGATTTTGTGTCATTTTCCTAATTTATTAACTTTTGAAATCCTGAAAATAATTTCATCTTACCAATGTCTAGAATTCTAAAACTTTGTTATATTAACCCTTCGCAATAAAAAACATTCTGATTGATGAACCTATGGGATAACGAACTTTACCTTCAGTAAAACAAGATGTAACTTCATCTCATACCTAAAGAGGTTGCTTGTTGGCGAACGTCCTCAGGGTTTGCGGCCAGTACGTCTCCAAAGCAGACGAGTGCCCGGGGTATCTCAGTTCCAGAGACCAGTTTCTCGATTAGTACAGCGGGAGCACCGATGAATGCCATGGATGGGACCTTCCCCTGCAGAGCTGGCGTTGTGCCCAATCTGAAACAGAAGATTTAAAGCCTGTCTGTACTAATTTGGCCAGGAGGGATTAGCCCTCCCTGCATGGTCACTGACAGGTGGTTATCTCATCAAATCAGCTCTCAATTAGCATAAGAAAAGCGGATCATGGGGGACCATGGGGGACCAACAGGCACCGATTAGGAATTGTTTGCTATATAGAGGGCGAAAGTAGCTATAAGTAGTGCAGTGGGGCTTTAAGCCCTGATAGCGATGATTCAACATTTCTCAACAGTGTCACTCCTTATTAAATGGGAAGTCCGCCCTGATTTTTAAGTTTGTTTGAATTAAACCATAAAAAATGAGAGAAACAAAGTAGTGAAAGTTTGAGCAATATTCGATGAAAATAGGAAAGTGGTGAATATTTTAAGTTGACATCATTAAAATACAAATATGCAACATCTTGCGAGCTCCACTCCAATTTGTTCTGTACAGATAATTTCATAAGCTTTCATTTGTTTAGTCATTGATGACAGAAATAGATTTGTATAAAAAAGGGGTTGTATAAAAACACATTTGCAATAATTATATTAAGGGTGAATGTATGATTGCAAAGGTTTAAACTTTCACTGACCTGTTTCTCTCATCTTTTCTGTTTCTATTAAAACCATTTTAATATCAGGGTAGACTTTCCCTTTAAGATAAGCCTCATTCAGATATGTCGCGGTATTAAACTGCCATGTTTTAAAAAATATTCATGATTATGTAAGTGCAATACGAATCTCCTTGATAAAACAAATGCTGATTAACATTTCATGCTCACCTCTCTGGGGCAATGACCCTGATCCTCTTGCCACTCCTCAGCTGTTTAAGAGCCCTCAGCTTGCCCATGTAGGGGCTACCCCCTCCGCCTGACCCGAGCAGCCCCGCTCCGATAGTGATGTACTCAATGTCACGTTCGCTGATGATCCATTCACCAGTGACCGAATCGACATGAGGTTGATAGTCTGATAGAAATAAAATGAAGATTGATTTATATTCAAAGGTAGGACTGGTAGTGTTAGTGGTAGCCCATGCATAGCAGTAAGTGATGAAGTATATAAAGCAAAGGAAGATGAAGGAGGAGGAGGAGGAGGAGGAGAAGGACAAGGAGAAGGAGAAGGACAAGGAGAAGGAGAAGGAGAATGAGAAGAAGAAGTAGTAGATGTAGAAGTAGTAGATGTAGAAAAAGCAGATGTAGAAATAGTAGATGTAGAAGAAGTAGATGTAGAAATAGTAGATGTAGAAGAGGTAGATGTAGAAGTAGTAGATGTAGAAGTAGTAGATGTAGAAGTAGTAGATGTAGAAGTAGTAGATGTAGAAGTAGTAGATATAGAAGTAGTAGATGTAGAAGTAGTAGATGTAGAAGTAGTAGATGTAGAAGTAGTAGATATAGAAGTAGTAGATGTAGAAGTAGTAGATGTAGAAGTAGTAGATGTAGAAGTAGTAGATGTAGAAGTAGTAGATGTAGAAGTAGTAGATGTAGAAGTAGTAGATATAGAAGTTGTAGATGTAGAATAGTAGATGTAGAAGTAGTAGATGTAAAATTAGTAGATGAAGAATAGTAGATGTAGAAGTAGTAGGTGTAGAAGTAGTAGATGTAGAATACTAGATGTAATAGTAGTAGATGTAGATGTAGTAGACGTAGAAGTAGTAGATGTAGAAGTAGTATATGTAGAAGTAGTAGATGAGGAAGTACTAGGTGTAGTAGTAGGTGTAGTAGATGTAGAAGTAGTAGACGTAGTAGTAGTAGGTATAGAAGTAGTAGATGTAGAAGTAGTAGAAGTAGAGTTAGTAGGTGTAGAAGAAGTAGGTGTAGAAGTAGTAGTAGTAGGTGTAAAAGTAGTAGATGTAGAAGTTGTAGATGTAGAGGAAGTAGGCGTAGAAGTAGTAGATGTAGAAGTAGTAGACGTAGGAGTAGTAGACGTAGAAAGAGTAGATATGGAATTAGTAGGTGTAGAAGTAGTAGATATAGCAGAAGTAGGTATAGAAGTAGTAGATGTAGAAGTAGTAGGTATAGAAGTAGTAAATGTAGAAGTAGTAGATGTAGAAGTAGTAGACGTAGAAGTAGTAGACGTAGAATTAGTATTATGTAGAAGTTGAAGTTGTTGATGTAACATATAGAAGAGCAGATGAAGAAGTATTAGATATATAAAGTTATATGTAGAAGATAGAATACATGTCATGGAGTAGTAGATGTAGAAGATATACCATGAAGAAGTGGTAAAAAATAGTAGTAGAAGTGCATTATATAGAGAAAGGAGAGGTAGTAATAGTAGTTCTCATAGTAGAAGGACATATATAAAAGTAGAAGATGTACAAGTAGTAGGCTCAGAATTACATATAGTGGAACTGACAATAGTAGAGGAAAAAGTAGCAGAAGTTGTAGTAGTGAGTAGTAATGGAAAATGCAGACATAGTAGTCGTCGTATATTTATAATTGTGAAGGTAAAACTACTAGATATGGATGATGTATACATAAATGTTAAAGATGTAAATGTACAATGTAGTAAGTAACAGATGTATAGGTATAATAGTAGAGCATTTACCTCTTTCATCAGTGCTTTCGATATCACTTCTATTTGCTGTCGTCTGAGGCGCATCTTGTCCCGTTGTTCCTGATTGGCCACTCCCTTCATCACATGATTGCTTGGAGGGAGATGCTTCTGCCAAGGTTCCACTTGGTGTGTCCTCTGTCTGGTATGAACTACGGTGTGACTCGAGATTGGAGGTCGCTAAACTCCCCACGGCTTTGACTTTGATGCGTATGACTTGGCCTGGAAGATAGGCTAATCCTACCGACTGACGTTCGGTGATCTGGGCGAGAGAAATTCAGATTAAAATCAGATCAGAGTATCTATGGCCGTAACCACACCTGCCGATTCCCAAGACCGCCAAGATATCATTTGGTCTTACGACTAACATGTCTTCAAAAGACTTCAAACAAAGGGGAATGAAACTGTGTCGAATTAGAGGACAATTCAATTCCAAGCATTTTGAAGACCGACGGAATAGCCGCAGTGATTAGAGGCTAGCAAGTCAAATGTGTTCTCCATTTTATACATTCAGACTCTTGTTCAATCATTAGTTCTTTCCTCAAGGGTTTTATGTAATAGATCTACTTGGTTGTTTATGGGGGCATAGTGTAAAGTCAATAACACAAAACATGTGATTACCATATTCAGAGCAATCTTATATAATGGCTCTGTTTTTCCTGAGAGGTTAGGTATTAACCACAATTGTCAAATCATGATCCTTGCTTGTTGAATGAATGTTTTTGTTATTAAAATCCGAAATAAAAATCAGGGGACAAGTATTACCATCATATACAAGACAACAATTGTCCAATCATGCTTACTTCCAAAGTGGACTCATCAGCGCCATTTGTCACTGCAGCACGTCGTGCCTTGGCTTCCGCGGTCCCGACCGCATCTTCACGTGAGATCTGAGCGACGTTTACCACATAGTCTACTGTACCGCTGACTTGACTTAGAGACGCACCCACTGCATTAGCCGACTGTCATTTAAAAAGAGATTTAAAGGAATAAAGATTATTACGTTGCCAATTTGACGTTTATCGGCAGAAACTTTGATTTCGGTTGTCCACAGCCAATATCCTATACTAACCAAAGGCAACCCTAGCCTTTACCCTAAACCTAACTAAAACTAAAACTAGATTGTAATGCTGACCCTAACCCTGTATCTGTGACGAAATCAAGACTACGGTAATTGAATCTTGAACAAACCGATTAATCACGGGTGAATAACAGAAACAAGAGAGACTTAATACGATGACACATACAAATTATATTAATATTCCAAAATGTAAAAGTATTAAAAGAAAAATCACCTTCTGCATCATAAATACGGTTTATCTAGTCATTCATAACAAATAATTAGAACAAGTAAACCCATTTGTATTTGGTAATGACGTACATAGTTTAATAAGATTAGAAAAATCAAGACTGGATGCAATAATATTGATGAAATGTTGCAAATAATATGAACTTTATAAATTACAAACGTATAATGATTGTAATAATTTCCTCATCATCAAAACTCTGGACAGATGATTAACTTTGATAAGTTTAATACATTTATTCTTAATTTTATAAAAGGTGACAAAAAAAAACTGTTAATTATTCTTAGAGAAAAGCAAAATTTGAACCTGATAATGAGGTGGTTTTATGAGACGAGAAGCTCCTCGAAGGCCACGTTTCTCATCGATTAGAATACTCCCTCCTCCAACAACGATGACTGGTACATCATCACCGCTGATCTGAAATGCAATATGGTAAGAAACAATGATTACTATAAATAAAATCATTGCATTACAACAATAGGTAACGAATGTCTTACCAAAACCATCTGGACGAGGTAGAATTTGCTTCTTTGGAATTTAGTTGAAATGTGCCTTAACAGGATTGCGATATTACTGACAGACATTCCTTTTCTAGTACTTATCTCTCTTTTTACAGTTTCCCCTTACGATTTATATCCATGTTTCCAGATGAATATGTCATTGTACATTTGCTACTGTGTATTATATATTTGTGTTTATATACCTCATTTTAAGATTCTTTACTAATCCTGTCTTCTGATTGGTTGAAAATGCAGTCATGTTCTTAACCATGCCCGCTAATTGAAATTCATAGTCATTTTTCCCGGCTCTACCGGTTTATATCCATTTTTCATAGCACTTTTTCCATGGCTGTGAAACGTGACGTCATTTTGCTGCGATCCCCATTTTGGTTTACGTGTTACCGTATAAGTTTCTTTTGTGCGATGACCGATGCGCAATACCGTTAACGGTGTTTGAGTGTTTGAGTGTTCGGTATGTTGCGAATTTGTGAATTTATGAAGTTACTGTTCATGTTCTACTGGAGCACACAGCTTGTTGGTGATATCATCCTGTACAAAAGTTACTGTTCGTGTAAACGTGTTTGGTATTCCCTGTTCTACTGGAGCACAGCTTGTTGGATTTCATACTGTACACAAGTTATTGTTGGTGTTAATATTCATGACTTCAAAGAGATGGAAACCTAAATGGGTGAGTCAACATTTTCTTTTTTTTCGGTATATAAAATATATATTGACTGCTTTTAATATTCGAGGCATAGTTGTTTCTATAGGGTCTCGGGAAACTCACAACCTGCTATGACCCCGCGGCGCAAGCGCCTTGGGGTCATAGCAGGTTGTGAGTTTCCCTTGACCCTATAGAAACCACTATGCCTCTCAAAGCAGTCAATATATCTTTAATATAATTTTATATTGTATATTGTTCACATGCCTTATGTAATGCCAACAACTGAATTTCCAAATGGCCCAATAAAATTAATCTGAATCTGAATCTGAATCTTCGTCTCCATCCTTTTTTCATTCAATTTCCTTGATATTCATCGTTCCATCTTCTTCATCATCATTGTGTTTGACGATTACATTACTTTTCTATCATTCAAGTTCACTCAAGTTCTCCTTCCTTAATTGTGCTTCTCGATCTCATCACCCAATTACTGTAAGAATAGCAGTCTTGCAACTTTTGACAAGTTTTACGTTAAAGTTAACTTCCTTGAAAGAGTGCAACCGTACAAGATAAAAATCAAACTACAAACCTTGACTTGATCGATAACCTCTTCCACCATTCTGTGTATTTTGTCCACAGCACTGTCTACAACGGTCTTGGGAATCTGATTGACCTTAGCAGTGTCTCCTTCTATTTTAGCAAGGCCCGCTGCTACGGCAATATCCGTTGCTGTTAGAGTGTTCCCGCCAAAAATAAGACCCTTACTAAGCAGACGATAACCAACACTGCTTGGACCAACAGCTATGTTGTTCTGTCAAAAAAAATAGTTAGGAACCATTTTCGTGTAGTACTTCTAAACTGGTTTGGATATTTTCACCTTTGTTTGTGATTTACTATTAAAGGATATGCGTCACAAACGTTAATTGCTAAGATAGTGTTTTACAAACAAGAAAAATTAAAAAAAGTGTAGTGCTAATGAAATATTCCTCCAAAATGTAAGTTTTCGATAACCATGAGCAGTCTCCTTTTTGTTTTATAAACTGATCAACTATTAAAGGATATGCCTCACGAAGGTTAATTGTTAAGGTAGTGTTAAACATAGGTTTATAATCAAGAAAAGTGTAGAACAAATGAAATAGTCCTCCAAGATATAAGTTGTAGATGACTATGAGCAGTCTCCTTGCATTTTATGAACTCACTATGAAAACAAAATCATTGATCTGAACCATATGCTGAAAACCTTCATCATTGAGGGGGTAAGGGCGGAGTTAAGTACCACCCTGTAACCCAGGATCGGCACCCCTGCCCTGGAGTAGACTTGGACTGAACTTGGTTTGGGAATGTTGACGGACCCATCTCATATCTCACATCAGCCGGCCTTCGGATCACAAGTCGATTTGCCCTCAAACCAAGTCTCTGGTGGCCCACTGTGAACACTCCACAAAATCACCACGGCAAGTCCGCCCCTGTCCCTGCCATATACCCTGCATCGTGCTCACCATATGTTCTCCTTGCACCAGCGAGCCACCACCGAGACCGATGCACTGAACATCAGGCATCCTGAAGTTGGTCGAGATTCCTGCAATGTGGCTCCTGCTCGACGACTCCCGCGGGAAACCTTTCATCAGGTAGCCGACGTCGGTCGATGTCCCACCGATGTCGATGACAATGGCATTGTCTGTCACGCCTGTGGAGTCATTGCAGAATGCATAACAGATTACGTTTCTTCTTCACATTTATATGCGAGTAGAATTGTGCATCAACCGGAACTTCACTGTAGATGCAAACCGAAAAAGAAAAATAATATCCTCGGCCTACACCTTTCAGGTGCCAACTTACGTAACTCCACTAAAATAAATCACTTCAACTGCAGTGACCGTAGACACCAATAAACAATAAATTCTGTCTACCGGTATATGTTACATAAAAAATGTAGAAGCTAGATAACATTGAGAATGTTCCATTGTTGTTCCTTATTATTGGCATCACATAATCTTTTGTATATTATACATTGAACACCTGGAGTTAGGTTAAAACCATTGGGCTGTCGATACATATCACCATTTGGAAGACAAGGAAAAGAGACTACATTTTTATTTTGGATTAGAGCCTTTCCTGTGATACCACTTTCAGGACACTTAAATTTAATTTGCCTGCAAGTACCTGACAAATGCGCTGCTCCTCTCATACTGTTTGTGGGACCGGAGGAAAATGTGCGCACCGGTAGATCAAGCGCCAAGTCGGAACTAAAACAAAAGAAAATATAATAGCTTAGGCTTACAATGAGTAGTGATACCTATCGTACCATATCAATTTCCATTGTCACCACCATCACCATCATCTCCATCATAATCATCATCACCCTCATTATGCATCATCACCATCATCATCATGCATCATTATCAATGTCATCAACATAACCCCACCATCATCATCATCATCATCATCGTAATCATCTTCATAATTCATTATGACCCTTAACCAAATAAAAGTAGCGTAAAACTAGTGGTGCGTTGGACTTAAATGATGTCATCTCTCAAACAACTCACCTGATTATCGTGCCATCATTTTGCGTCATGTAGAATGGACACTGAATGTCCAGCTCTCGGAGACTGGTGGAAAGCATGGATCGTCTCTCTGCATAAGGGCTTCAGCGACTCATTCAAGATGGCGGCGTTCTCCCTCTCTAGGAGCCCCATCTGACCGATCTCATGAGAGAGTGTCACGCTTGCCTCCTTGTAATGTTCTCTTATCAAATCCCTAACCTGAAATTCAGAAGATTAAAAATAACTGCACAATTAGACTTTCTAAAATTTCACCTTTAATGTCATATGATGAGATTCAAAACAATCAAATGACATAATTATAAGAATATATTACAAAACTGGTTATAACTTGGTATTTTAAAGGGTAAAGACATAACACATGGGTGCACTCTATGTTCAAATTTGACAGCTTTTTGTTTCTAAAATTAATGAACCACCTGGAGTACGTAGGAAACCACACATTTTAAACAAGGGATCTTTGGAATAACAAAATGCATGTTTCCAAAAGGCGCTATTTGCTGATCTGGGAACTGGAGATGCGTCAGCATATGGCATGGTCTAAAAAGTCATGCCATCAAAATCTATTTTAAAGACGAAAAATCTTTCAACGTGTTAACTACTGTTCTATGCACCAATAGACATATTCAGATTGCATGCATACTTTTTAAACAAAGGTTGTTCTTGATAACCTGAATGCTTGCCCGACAAAACAACACGTAATTTACGCAGACTGGATTCCAAGTATTGTAGTTCATTCATTGATAACAGGTTAATGGAATAACTCGTCACTAGGTCCCCAAGAAAGAAAATCCATTAAATTTGAATATGTTAATAAATTGGTATATTGCCTCAATGCAGGAAATAACACAACCAAATTTCATAGGCCTATATACATGTAATAAATCAATAAATTGAATGACTTCAATATTAGAACCAGATTTATTGGTACCTGGTTTTCTTGGTCGCTGTTGATGGGTGCGAAGATGCAACTGACTGCGATGTTCGTGATACCTCTTCCTCGGAGTTCATTCAAGCATGTCAGAACCTCCTCGGGGTCAAAACGGGTATCGTCTGGCCATCATAGTTATAGCCACCGTTCAAGAAGTAATGTGAATCATACACTGTCTGGGATATGATAGAAATGGTACCGAAAAAGATTCATGATGGAAAATAGAAATTGAACAATTATAATAATTATTGTAACTTTTGACTGAGGCTAGGAATTAGAAATGACCATTTGCCTAAAATTCTCTTTTCATACAAGATGAATGCAGCAATGATTACAAAGAAAATAATGATCGCATACAATAATTATCATGCTTAAAAAGGCACTGGGCATTGTTAGGACATTCTGAATGAGGGGGAGGGGTATATGAACGAAATAGTAATTTGTAGTTTTCTGTGTTTTATCTTATCTAGTATCCTTTACAATGAAATAACAATGCCGTTATAATGGGTCATCAAATTTCTCGCTCAGAACATGCAGTAATTTTGATATTTGTGTAAAAAGCTTGAGCACCCACCCCTCCCCCTCTCTCTCTCACTCTCTCTCTATCTATCTCGGTCAATTGTACCCATACGGCTTGATCTTGGTTAGCAAGGGTAATAGGTTAAAGGTCATTACCTGCTTGAGGTCATCTGGGAACTCGATACATGGTTCAAGAGCTCGGGAAGCGGTCCCGCATAGCCTTAGGATGGCTACACGGGTCAAGTGACGCCGCTGCAGCACTGCATTCACAAAATGAGTGGTTCCGATGTTCACCTGACGAAAGTTAGTTGGTTGACCTTGTTTGAAAATGGAGTAAAAAGTGGAAAGGAATCGTTGAATGCAGGCCTATATGTTTACCCAGTGACGAGCTTTTCGTATTACATTCACCCGTTCTTGCATCTCAATATTCAGAATGCAAATTGTATAGAAACCTACATTTGCTGTTGCTAGGTCGGACAAACATTTTGCATGGCTTGCCTTACTCAACAATGCATAATGTGCACAGTTGGCATATTGACTTGGGGCCAATCGGGTAAAATGCGACTACAGACGACGCGACCGCAGTGGGGGTACGTACTCACATGTGTGGCGCATACGCGAAACCGAAGCGTGAGGAGAACTTTGGTCTGTTTCGCGTAGTACAAGTCTATACGCTTACGTGCAATTGTCAAAAAAGGTCAAGGCGTTGACCAGTATTTGCTATGCTACAGCCCCTTTAAAATACCAGGTTCATGAAATGATTTATAACGAGGCACTTAACAAAGATGGTGACTTGAGGCGTATTTCATTGCATTTCAAATTTTGCACTTTGCCCAAAATATTAACAAATCAATGCTGTGAATATAATTGGTATTCGAGGCGCTTGGTTAGATTTGGTTAGTGCAATTAATAGACCATTTTCATAATGTAATCAGATTTAATGCATAAATTACCATGTGTTATAAACAGTAGGTTAAAACAACCATCCCCTGGACAGTCAACCCCCCCCCCCCCCCGAAGGACAATTAACCTAAACAAAATTCTGCTTATAATATTAAAACGAACTTATTATCAGGGTGGACTTCCCCTTTAATGAACGGGGGGTAAGGGGAAGTGGTAATTTTCTTGGGGGGGGGGGGTACGAGGGGGGTAATTGTCCTCCTAGAGGGTAGTTTTTCTTGGGGGGATTACATTATCATGGAAACAATCTATTGCATACAAAACAAGTTGAATGGGGAGAACAATAATTAAGCACAAAGATCATATTGAATTATAAAATAGTACATGTATACCTTGTTCCTGGAATAATCTCATGAGGCTCTGGATGGAGTGTTTCACGCCCCCCGTCACATCCAGTGTGGTTGGTTCCTTGGCGACGCCCACCACATGACCCTCACTAAGGCACACGGCATCTGTGTAAGTCCCTCCTACATCCACGCCCACAATAAGATTTGAATCTTCCATGCAGAATTAAACCTGTTAATGATACAGTGATAGAAAGTAGGAGGCGAGTTGGCTCAGTCAGAGAGGCGTCTGCCTGTCGAACCAAAGATCCGGGTTCGAATCCCACCCAGACGGATGACTGAAGCCTGCGTTGTGTTTTTAACGTGCCCTTGTTCATAGACGCAGGCTATGATAAGTGGAAAACACTCTGTCTCTCGGCCCAGATAGGACGTTAAATCAATGGAGGCCCTGTGTAGAGAAGAGTCACTACCTTTGCACTATTCGTATAGGAGTAGGGGAAACCCCAGTGTATAGTCAGTGGTCCACCTGCACACACCCCAGAAAAATCTATAATACGATTAATACTCTGTAAGAGGTATGTACTAAAAAATGGAAGATTGCTAATGATGTGCATGAATACACCATGACCATGTATAAAATGTCCACTCGAACGCACACAATAAACTATCCAGAATACATACACTGTCAATCATGTATTGTATACAGAATAGCCAAAATAATCAGCGAGGCGCTCACAGCTACAGCGGAGCTGAATGAAAAGTTGCAAGCATAGCAAAGTTCCATGCGCATGTTTATACTAGAAAATGAATTACCTGAATTCGGAATATGACGATATAGGCCTAGGCTAATCCTTTATCAGCTGCCTCATTTTTAATTTCACGTGTAACTGTCAGCAGTGTTGCCAGGCCAGTAGACCGAAAGCTTCAGTCTCTGATATCGACGGTGGTTCCGCTGCGCGCTGAGATCGCATCTGCATGGCTCCATGCTCCACTGACCGCAAATGTCAGTTTTATGAAAGAAATGACCCATATCAGACGGTTTATTTCCGTCTATGCTGCCAGTAGATCCAGGATTAAACCCCTTGGCATGCAAGCCTATTTATCTTGCTGATTTAAAATAATGAAGAAACAAAAACTCATTTCACTTGAATGACACTAGGCTAGACACTTAAGTCGAGGGGAAACCCCTAGTAAGAAAGATCGGCAAACTGACGTTCCTTTTCAATGATCAGCTGTAGCAGAAATTTTACTTTTAGGTGACATTGGTTTTATAATGCTTTGTGTTGTTCCTAGATCTATTCCCGATGACATTGGACCACACCAACGTCCAAGTTTTTGGTTCAGGCGTGAAGAACAACATACCAAACAAAAAAATGTTCACGTCTAAAAAAAAAGCACACACCGTAGAGGATGAAGATTCCTGACCATGGCTGATGTTTCGTGGGGGGGGGGGGGGGGGGGGGGGGGGGGGGGGGGGGGGGGGCCGGCCGGGGTGAATACTTTTTCTTACAATGTCAATACACGCTTTCCTAGCTGTTTCGCATGGCCAACTATCCCGAGGCAGGTGATATATAGGCCTAGTATAACGTAGTCCTACCGTCAGGCGCGGATCCAGGCGCGGAGGGGGGGGGGGGGGTGAGCAGGCCTTGCCCCCCCCCCCCCCCGCGCAAAAAAAAAAAAAAAAAAAAAAAAAAAAAGAGAGAGAGAGCAGAAAAGAAGGGAAAGGGAAAGAGGAGAGAAAGGAAAAAAGAAGAGGAAGAAGACAATAATAGAGAAGAGATCGGGGGGGGGCAAAAGGACTTATATACCTCTCAGGCTGTTGCCTCCCCCCCCCCCCCCCAAAAAAAAAAAAAAGAGAAGGAAGGAAAGGGAAACGAAAAAAGGAAAAGAGTAGATAAAGGGAAGGAAAAAAGAGGAAGAAGAAAAGAAAAGAAGGGGGATATCAGTTGCAATTTTCCCGCCAACAAGTTGTGGTTCGGGGGGAGGCAAAATTAAGGCCCTTGCCCCCCCCCCCCCCTCCGTCCAAAATAAAGAGAGAAGGAAGAAAAAGGAAAAAAGGAGAGCTTAAAGGGGAAAAAGAGGAAGAAGAAAAGAAAAGGGAGAAAAGTAGGGGAAATTTTTCCTCACTTTTAAGTAAATTATACTTTTTTATATGCGTTTGTTGTAAAATGACAAATTCCTAAATTTACAGCCAGGCAAGAAAATGCTTCTAGAAATGCCTACATGTCAGGGCCCGCGGAACGGCGGGATCGGGATCCTCGAGCCCCCCCCCCCCCCCCCCCCCTCCCCCACTTTTTTGAAAAAGTATATTAAAAAGAAATAGAAAGAAAGAGAGCAGGAAAGAAAAAATAGTTAACTGCCAGTGTCATGAGGTATCAAAATATGCCCATCTGACCATGGTTAAATGCCTAAAACTCCGAAGGCTCTGCTCCCTGGATTCCACCTAGGGCCCTAAGGCGGGCCCTTAGATGCTCATCTGACGGTAATTTAATGCCTCAAACCCCTGAGCTTCCGGGGTTCCGCCTCCTGACCCCCACGCCAATTAGTGACCTGCCAGTGTCACAATTAGGTATCACAATAATGCTCATCTGACCTTAACTAAATGCCTAAAATGTCTGAACTTCCGTGGCTTTGCCCCTAGACCCCGCCTAGGGCCCTATAAGGCGGACCCTGAATGCTAATCTGACCGTAAATTATTGCCTTAAACCCCTAAGCTTCCGGAGGCGTACAAGGTATCAACATGTTCATCTGACCGCAGGCGCGTAGCCAGGGGGGGGGGAATTGAATTTAGACAAGTTATGAGTCGAGAACGGTACAACGAATCGTCTTCTTTCTCTAACGATTTAATGAAACGTAAAGCTTCCGAGCTTCGCGCGGGAGAGGGGAAACTGATTTTTAGACGAGGATTATTTTCGAGAGCGGTACAACGAATCGTCTTCTTTCACTAATAATTTAATTAATCGTAAAAGCTTTGTGCGGGGGGGGGGGACATAATTCAGACGAGGATTATTTTTGGGAACGGTACAACGAATCGTCTTCTTTCTCCAATAAGTTATTGAAATGGGAAACTCGCCCCTCCCTGCACCCACCCCCCAATTACGTCACTGCTGGTCACCATTACGTATTAATATTTGGCTCGCATAATTTCAAATATGGCCCCCCCCCCCTAAGAAATCCTGGATCCGCGCTTGCTACCAGGGGGGAGGCGACAAATATTTCGTTGAAGCACTGCCGGATTTGAGTCGTAGGGTGACACAGTCTACCCGTGCCCCTCCTTTTGAAATGTGAGAGGCATCCAAAAACGTGTCTCCCTTATGAGGACATGACATCATTTTATTTCTGTTATTTCATGTATTCTTATTATTAATAGTAGTAGTAGAAGTAGAAGTAGTAGTAGTAGTAGTAGTAGTAGTGGTAGTAGAAGTATCATTTACTAGTAGATTATCATTATTATGCTAGTCAGAGAGTTTTGGAGAAAAGGGGTCTAAAAATACGAATGACGAATTTATCATTATATTTTTATATTTGCAACAAATGATTAGGAATACCATGACCTCTCTTTAAAAAAAAATGGATCCGCCCCTGTGTTAGAGGGCACAGATTTCGTGGCATTGAGTGTAAAAAAAAAAGAACATTGATTTATAATTCGAAGTAACATTTTCATCCTTTGTTTTGTATGAATTGTTCTTCTTTGTAATTCTTTTGTATACAGTTTGTTTTGCCCAGAAGAAAAAAATAATAATAGGCTTAGATCCAGCTTTGAAACAAAACTGTTTCACCTACATGCTAGGAATGAGGCGTCCCTCTCTCTCTCCCTCCCTTACTCTCTTCATCTCTCTTTCTCTCTCTTTCTTTATCTTCCTCGGCTCTCTCTCTCTCTCTCTCTCTCTCTTCATCTCTCTCTTTTTTAATTTTGTTTTATATATCTCTCTTTTCTGTTTATATTATATTTCTCTCTCTCTCTCTCTTCGGGGTTCGCGGTTGGATTATTATCAATATAATCTGCAAGCTTTTTCCACATTGGAGCAACTACTGTGCATTTACAAAATATATGAATCAAGGTTTCACGTAGCTCCTGACAGAAGTAACACAAAGGACTATCACTTCTTCCAATTGTATATAAAAATGAGTTTAGGGCTATTTCATTATGAAACAAATTTGAATAAAAAGACCTTAACTGAGTTTCTATAGTACATTTGGAAATTATTTGTGTGTATAACAGACCATTCAATTTCATCTCTATCCAAACCAAGCCACTCTTCCCACTTATTACCAATCTTGGCCTGTAATGATTTATGTTTGTTACGTATAATTTAATACCGAATAAGCTATAGGCACTTTCAACTTCCTAAGCAACTCAAAAACAATCTTATCAAAAATATTCTCATGAACATCTTGATGATCAATAAACCAATCTGATTACAAATTTAGTATTGTAAATATGTAATGTAACATTAACAAAATCAAAATATACCAGTTGTGTTCATATTCAAAATACATCTAGTTTCCATTAAGTAATTCGTATAGTTAAAGTTTTATTAGATTATCAGTATATATTTTCCCACAGATTGCTCAAGTAATTTTCTTCCCAATATTACCTGCCAATCAATGCCATTGCTTTATCGCGAAAAGGCAACCCATTCTTCGCAGTGCTACTATACGGAAGTACCTTAATGAGTACTTGATGAAGCGCCAGGAGTGTCAAGTCTGACAGACATGAGCGCCAGGCGCGTACACAGAGAAGGTGGGGGGGGGGGGGTTAGGGGTTGGGGGGTTAACCCCCCTTTGGTATTTTTATGTGTGTAAACCCCCCCCCCCCATCAACCCCCCCCCCCCCGAACCCCCCCCCCTTTGGTTTTTTTTTTTAATTATTAAAAAAAAAAAAAAAAAAAAAAAATATTCCCATGGCTGACCTTAAAAGGTGACCTTACCCCCCCCCAACGGAGCCAAATGTCAATTTTTCAAATTTCGAGACCAAAAAAATAAAAAAAAGTGTCCTCTTAGACACCCCCCCCCCCCCCCCCCCCCCCCGCTTATTCAGCGGCTGGCTGAGTCGTTGCGAAATTTTCCGCCCGATTTATAAATGTTAAACCCCCCCCCCCCCTCGAAAAAATCCTGCGTACGCGCCTGATGAGCGCTATACAAGAACCCACTTTTATTATTACTACTATTTTATAATCTTAATATTGAGCGTTAATTGGATGGAATACTAGATATGGGCGTCCAATCATTTGCTAAAATACAAAACAATATAATTATTCAAAAATAGGCAGAAGAAGTCTTTGGAAAGATAAGCAAAACGCGGTGACTTGGTATCGGAGACCCCGTCCTCGTACCTCGAGGAGGAAATGGCGTACCTCAGGGCGACGATCTGGTACCTCCAAGAAAGATTATACTGACGATACATCTACCGGCTGCGACTTACGTGTTACTGTCTTGCAAGCGACTGAAAATATTCTCATCCATTATCGTCCCGATATTGTGAAATTTTAATTCCGAAGAAATGTTAGAGTGTTACCTTTACTTCAGATATACTTTCTTCCCAATATCATCTGTCACTCAATGTCATAGCTTATGATATTGAGCGTTAATTGGATGGAATACTAGATATGGGCGTCCAATCATTTGCTTAATGTGATCATGCTACACACATTTCATTACGGATTAACCTGTCCTTTGGCTCGTATTTCACTGTCACTCTCTTTGATGTTAAAGTCATAAAAATCTACCATCGTTCAGGAAATGACTGTCCGATGCTGTGGTGGTCCTGAGCTCTATTATCCGACATCAAGCAATATAATTATGCCTAAAGACTAGTGAGTGGACAGTTCTAGACGGCTACATTCTCGTTTTAACTCAAACAACCGGTTCTGAGTGTCGATAATGGTTGCTTTGGAAGTCATTTTGATCGATGAGATAACTATT